AGAGAACATACCTCAAGGCTCAGAAGCAGGGCGTTATCAACAGAGTTGACCGAGGAACGACCTGATAACTCCAGCCCGGTCTGGAGGGCCATGTCCTTCCAGACCTCAGAAATGGGACGAACGGCGGAGGGAACCGTGACGCCCGTAGACTTGGGAGCAGAAGGCTCAAGGCGCGGCCTCTTCGTCTTCTTCCCCTAATCCTTATCCCCGCCATCAAGGATAGCAACGCCGACCGGGTTCACATTCAGAACCCGGTTATCGTGAGGAGGGGCCTCGGCGGTTTGCCTGGTCACCTCAGCGACCAGAAGCTGCTCTGCATCGACAACCTGCTGACTAGCCTGAGAAGCGGCAGAAGAGGTGGCCCCCGAGGATTGAGCAACTGCACGGGCTTTAGCTAGCACCTCCCGTTCCTTGGCAGCCTTTGCCTCAAGTTGAGCCGCCATAGCCGCGTTGTCCATTTGCTCTTGAGTAGGGGGAGGACCTGAAAATGGAAAAGTAACATTAGTACCGGGCGGTGCGAATCACAAAGGCACTCTCCTCAGGGAACAGACCGCCCGGGCCCACAAGATGAACACTAGAGAAGGCCAGTCCAGGGATCACGGGCGGTACCTATCCCAGCGTTGGAGAGTGCCTCATTGGTCAGAAGGCCTTTTAATTTCCTAATGCCGCCCAGCCTCAGCTTGTCCACGGCTTCCCGCAACACTGGGGTCAGCTCCGGTGTCTGGACCTTCGGAGGGTACCCATTCCACCATACAGGGAGCCGATCGTCCGCATAACGAATAAAGAAGTAGCGGTTCTTCCAGTCGTGGATAGAGGAGGGAGCCCCCTCGAACAGCTTTCTCTTGGGACGAGCGGCCACGCTCAGGAACCCATCAGCATTTTGGGGGGTAACTTGGAAAAAATAATGGAACAGCTCGAGGGAGAAAGCGAGCCCCAGCGATTTGCAAAGGACAAGGAACGCAGAGATCTGGCGGTAGGAGTTCGGCATGAATTGAGCCAGGACCACGCTGTAGAACTCGAAGAAGTCCAGGTAAAACGGATGTAACGGGAACCGCAGTCCGGCCTTCAGAGAGTCCATATGTACCATCACCATCCCCGGACGTCTCATAAAGAGGTTATCTGCGCCCCGGAGGCTATAATAGGCAGGTGGGGGGAGGATAACTTGCAGTTCCCTCAAGGCCCTTTTGGAAAAAACTTGCTCGATCACAGCTACGTTCGGGATAAGCACAATGTGTCTGTGATCTTCCATGGGGATGCCACGCTTGTAGATTCAGAGGTCATCCCCTTCTTCAGCCTCCTCACCCGAGTCGTGGTCGGCCGGATGCCCCGCCGCCGCGGCAGGTTAAACCGCCATCGCAACGGCGTTTTCAAGGTCAACGGCCATGTCAACATGTTCCCTTGCGACCGAGATGGCGGCATCGGTCACTACATCAGGGACTGCCATTGAAGAAGCGCTGGAACGGCCAGAACCACTCGCTTCAGCCGAAGAACGGGATCTGAGTTCTGACGCCGAAGATGAACCGGCCGAAGAACCAGTAGAAGAACCGGAACTAGTCTCCGAGGAGGAAGAAATCTCCATGGAGCAGGCCATGGGGAGATGTACGAGGAAAAAGGAGAAGATTGGAGTCGGGGAATTACCTTTGCTAGGAGCTTGGAAAAGGAACGAACACCGGGACCGAGATACTCGCTGATCGGCGCTGAGAAGACAAGAGAAGACAACATATGAAAAGCCCTAACCCTTCCCTGATTTCCGGTATTTATAAGGGGAGGCACCGACTCAACAACCAACCCGTGGGCGACACGTGGCAAGGAGCGCATACATGGACGCGTGTCGCATAGAGACGGGCTGATACGGAATGATTACTTTTTTATTGGAAGATGAACCGGCCTGATAGCTGGCACCTAGAGCCCTGCAAACAGCGGCGGAAAGCAACCGTCACCTAGGGAAAAGGGAGCAACGGCTCAAAGCGGCACAGCGGAAGTGATCTTACTTCTTCATGTCCCGCGCAGGCTCGGAACATCAGAAGTGGGGGACTTGTGTTGGGTTAATGGCTTTCCAGGACTGGCCCATCAACCCCTGAAGCCCAAGAACCAAGGGACGTACGTGGCCCACCATAGCAAGGCCTCAAGGTCCAAGGGCCAGGGGACGTACGTAGCCCATCATAGCCAGGCCTCAGGGTCCAAGGGCCAGGGGACGTACGTAGCCTGTCATAGCCAGGCCTGAGGGTCCAAGGGCCAGGGGACGTACGTAGCCCGGTATAGCCAGGCCTCAGGGTCCAAGGACCTGGGGATGGACGTCTTGTGGGCTATACTTAAAGGCCCATGTTTCCATCAAAGAGTTGAGTCAAATTTAGGGGACGGACGTCCCCCGCGTTATGGCGGGAAACCAAGATCTTGGCGGGAAGCGCATTTAATGCTGAAGATTTGGTGGTTGGAATCATGTCGCCCACAGCCGGCCACGTCAGCCCCCAACCACCAGGGGTACTATAAATAGCCGCATTTATTTCATTGTAAAGGGTTCGCACATCGTTATTCTAGAGTTGTAATAACGTCAGCAGTACGTAGCATATTTTGAGTACGTTCGGCCTTTCGGCTTGTAATCATAATATTGAAGAAACAGTCATTTAATCCACCCCCCGTTGATTTAGTGAGTTCATTTGCCTTCTACCCATTCGAAACCCCCAGGTTACGTGTTGGGCCTGTGGGTTGAGGAGAATAAACCTCAACAATATGATTTTATAATTATAGGTTATCTATGTGAATATATCCATTTCTAACCCTAAAATGAGTTATAAATTATTAAACAAAGTCGGTATTTAATAACACAATTTCTAATATTTTAAACAAAGTCAGTATTAAACAAAGTCAATATAGGTTATCAGTATTTAATATATCAATTTATTTTATTTTTATTTTATTATTATGAAGTTTATTTATCCATTTTTAAAATTTCTAAAATATGAATGATTTATACTTCATAAGTAAATGTAGGTTATACTTCTTTCAACTTTGACAGTAATTATATTTAATTATGTATTAGTAAACATTATAAAAACTTGATATTTTGGAAATTCACACTGATAGGAATTCAATAACATTTTATACGAAATAATTTGATTATGTATATTACTAGAAAATCATGGTCAAAGTCAGGTCTGTGAATAATGCAAAAGTCACAATGTTGCAAGAATTAAAGAACGGATCGGAGGAAGTATTATTTTTATAAGCAATAGTTAAAAAAATTAAATACTAATGTCCTTATATGTCATTTTACACTCAAACAGTTATTCTTAAACAGTTAATTTACCAAACATTTATTGACAATAAGCTAACATAATCAGCCAACTAAAACAACCGACACAACCAGCTATTGTCAATCAGCTGTTGAGTGTTAGTGTTATAATTGGTTCAATGTTGTTAAGTAAATGGATTAGCTGTATTAAGCATTGAGTGTAATGTGTTAGAAAAGCTTGTTATGAATCCATAGTTCCTGACTTTGCTTTACAATGTTCAGTGAATGTATTTAAGTAATTTTTTATTTGGTTATTAATATTAACGTGATTCGCGCTGCCCTTGTGTAAGTATGACTTTAAACGGAATAAAATAAGATATAATCAAATTAAATACCTCGTCTCTTTGCCGTCAAGAGAGCATTCTTTTTTAATTTAGGTGTACTTTGTGTCTATCCTTCGATCAATATTTGGGAAATAAAATTAGAATACGAGTTTCAGATCTTCGATTGAGCTTTCCAATGATATAAGAATCACTTCAAACGGAACAAAGTACGACAATGCATCAAAACTTCTATGTATAAGAGCATTTCCTATATAGATGTGGATTGTGGAGCTTTAAATGTGGACACATCACTACTTAGACAGGCTATTAAGACGATGTGATGCTTACTTGGCTAAATAGACGATTAAACTAAAATTCATTCTCCAATGCACCTGTGAGATTTTATAATAAACTTTTCTAGTTTGGCTGTCGGAAAACTAAAACTACCTTGCTTTCCTTCGTATTCCAACTTCCAATCCCAGCACAAGAGTCAAAGATCTGATAAAAACGTGACTTCAATAGGATCAATAACAGGCCACCACAACAAGCTTAAAAAAATCCAATGACCCCTCTTCTCTCCCTACTCCTTGATATCACCACTATTTTATTGTCAACTTCCATGACAATGACGTCTACCATTAATTCCGTCGCAACTTATCTTCACTCCTGCTAACAAGGACTAGGTTGGAGCCCCGATTTATGCACCAAAGAGGAAGGTGGCAGCCTTCAGCTCGGAGTACGATGTGGTGACCATGACTATGATTTATGCAGATCTGCCATATATTTCCCCCGTGTGCGATCTCTCTACTACCGTGTGTGTATACGTCAATACGAAGGATTACGGCCTGGGTTGAAGCCGGTGACAATGGGAGAAGTAGACCGTAAAATCTCATAGGAGAGGAGATGGGTTTTCCGGCAACACTATTTTTCTATTTAGGATTACTTATATTGCTGCCAAATAAAATACTCCGTAGGATTGAAATAAAATTGGATTGAGATAATAAGTTGCTGAGTCACCATGTGCGACACGCTCTCTAGAATCAGAAGTTCAAACTCATGGTGTGCGTATTTTAATGTGCCAACTCAGCCCCACTTTTAATATGGACATCCCCGTTGGGGAGGGTATTTTTACATGCATGTACCTCAATTTTATCTTTTTCCATCCCATAACCCATTATATTTTTTATGGACGATGTTTGTGAAATAGTGTGATTTTATTCACTCTAACCTTATTCACATTTTAAATTTTTAATACAAATCTTACAATTTCACTATTTCTAATACATGTCCCAATTGCAATGGATAAATTTTGGCAATATAATGGAAGAATACTTGGTGACATGTCTTTTTCAATTGGCTTTTCTTTTTTGTTTGATGTTCTAAGAACAAAAGATCCATGCATATGGCCACTTCCACCCAAGGCAATTGAAATCAAGGTACAAAATCGTAAATTTCTGCACAACTCGTTCAGTATTTCAAAATTGTTTCATCATATATGGTTAGTGGAAGAAATATATGGCTCTGAATAAACTAATTCTTCCTGCTTTTATTCATTGATGTGGGATTACCATCAAATAATCCCTCGATCAAAGTCTCAATATCATCAGACTGATACTTTATATATCGATCAACGTGTTTTGAACCATCAAGATGTTGTTTAAACTTTGCTAAGAAGGCGCGGTACGCCGGAATAATAACCGCCGATATGGAAACCCGGAGCTCCGACTGAAGCTGCTCGTCGTTGACCACCCATGTGCTCTGACTTTTGTGGATTTCATCCATCATGTTGCTAAAACTCTTGAATCTTTCTTTCAATGCCGCCTTGTTTACCTTACCGTTCTGTAGTAGCCCTTCATGCTTTAGGATTTGCAGCACCTATTTTATTTTCGAAAAGTGTATTAGATAAATTTATCTGAAAGTGCATTAGATAAGGGTGATTCTGAATTAAAATGACAATTTGGACAACTGAGATTAATTCTTATTTCACACATTGATGTCTTCTCATTTGAACTCAACTCCAATGATACTCTCCCTATTTGGAACGAAATGTACGGGCGGGTTTTGGTCTGCGATGTTTTTAATTGAACTTATTTCAGTCCTAGACCAGACCAAATCAAACCAGATGAGACTAGACAAAACTAAAACAGACGAGTTCAGACAAGAGTAGATTAGACAAGACTTCTGCAGTTATAAAATACAAAGATTTATCTTATAAAATACAAGACATTTACTAGACTAGACCTGTTCAGATAAGACTAGACCTAACTTAAACAGACCAGATTAGATCATAAAATTTCAATCCAAGTAGAAACATGCATGTCTTGGTGGTCTAGGCTCAATTAGAAATGTCTCGTATGAAATGTGTTCTGTATGTTTTTATTTTGTCAAGTTGAGCCACTTCTAAATTACTTTGTTTAAGGATATTTTTTACTTGGATTGAAATTTGTTGGTCTGATCTGGTTTGATATGTTTAACTTAAGTCTGGTTTGGTCTGATAACTGTCTAGTCTCTGTGTATTTTATGCCTATCAAAGTCTGGTCTGATCTGTTGAAGTCTGGACTGGTTTGAGACCGAAAACAAGTAAAACATCCAAAGTTTGTTATGGCGTGATGTGAACGTGTGAAGTGTGATACATCTATTTTTTTTGAAGATAAAATGATACATCTAATTTAATTTTAGGCTAATCTGATCAAATTTGGATGGTCTCGACTGAAATAAAAAGTCCAAATCAACACCTTTTTAGTTCTTGATAATATATACCCTGTATGATAGTATTTCACATTCTCGTTAGATCCATTAATAGAAATTGCTCCAAATAGGAGCATAAACGTTTTGAAATTCCAAAATAGAAGTATCATGTTTTTTATTCTCTAAATAAGAGTAATTTGCCGTGTTTGGAAAAAATGTCATGTTTTAAAGCATAGTAATGTGAAATTTGGCATAAATTTACTCCTATTAAGGGAATAAAAAACATGATAGTCCAATTTTGGAACTTCAATTTTTTTTTACTCCTATTTAAGGAATTCTCCCATCATTTAATAATGAGAACATAGATTTCTAATCGTACCTTCCCCCATGTTTCTCTTTGGTAATTCTTGTGGTACTGTCTGACCACTGTTGACCTCCTCCGATAGCTAGTGTCGCCCATAGCTTCATGTATCTCTGGGGACCCTTTGATTTTTTGCAAGATATATCTTCCGTTGTTCATCAAGAAAATGACTCGGAGTGACAAGTCCTTGTAAAGATACGATTTAGCTTCAAGGTTTTTGTCAAGAAGGTCCATGGTGTTGAGTAATTGTGCAGAAAATGATGAAGTTTCACCCTCACCGGTGGAATTTGCATGTTTTTGGAATATCCGCTCAAGGGTTGGTTTAAAGTCACATGCATTGATTAAGTAATTCATTACGTAGCGGGTGAGCGGGTGAACCGCTCCGCCCGGAACAGGATTCCGTGCGACGTCGTTTTTTATGGAGTTCTCGAGGTCGCAAAAGATTTTTACACAGGCCTCGACGATCCGGTCCCCGGCAACAAGTATCTCTGATGTGATCTCGTGCTCGGAGTCGACATGACATTCGTCTGAGATTGCTGGGACTAGACCCTGAATTGTCTCATACATGTCTAGGAATTTGAATAATTGTTCCGCAGAACATTTTGTCTGTGCAATGATGTCAACAAAGTCTAGAAGCCGAATCACCATTGCACGGGCTAAGTTTCTAAATAAGCCTCGAGATATCAAGGGATGTTCGGAGAAGACGGCTTCAGCCAGCCGTCTTTCTTCTATGAAAAGAACTTGATAGCAACTTTTCACTACTCTCACCCATCGTGTGATCTCACCTTCTAGAGAATCCCAACTCATCTTCTCGATATCTTCCGATTCTATTTTCTCATACCCTAACCTTCTCATGTCTTTCAAGAAAGCGTTATGTCGACAAATCGAATACACCTGGCAGCACTCGGTCTCGTAACCACCCGATATCATCACAGTGGCAATCCGGTTCATTCTCGTGACAACCTCGGGCGAGAACGGCTCATATGCATCTTCTCCTCCGGTTGCACCATCGTCGTTGTGGCCCGATTCTTCCAACAGGACACGTAATTCTTCTTCCATGAACGTCGCGGCTCGTTGCAGAATCATTTCTGTCGGCGAGGATTGTTTCATATCAGCTGATTGTTTATTCTTATCCTCCGCGGATCTGATAAATGTCGATAACCGCATTACAGCCTCATAGAAGAACGAATCCTCCTCCGTCATTCTACCCATCTTGGTCCGCATCTCGCCGGACCTGGCGATTCTAGATTCGATGATTTTAATGAAATGTTGAATGGTGTCGGGTAATTCATGACCATTTTCTTGATCGCCATTGATTTGTGCATTTTTGTTTTCATTTGTATCTGAATTGTTGTTCTTTTCATCAGAGTTTTTTTCCATTTCAGAATGTTAGCTTCTTTTTCTTGATGAAATAGTAATTGATGGAATGGAAGTTCGGGATTTGAACCGATTGATAAGCTAAGGGAATGAATTAGTTTTCCCCCATACTCTCCTAATCTTGTTTAGCCTACATTGTGGCTGTTGCTTACACATGTTGCGTAATTTATATGAAGGCATGGAAATAATAATAATAAGTCGTAATTAACTTTAAAAGATACTCATAGGACACTTATATAGCCATACTAGTTATTTTGAAAATAATTCAATTATGAAAAGTTAGTTATTTTGACAATAATTCAATTATTTTTTCTAAATGAGCGCATAATATTGTTTTTTGATGTGAATTCAAATTAAAATGTTCTCAATTTTATTCAAGACAAAATGTAATATTACAAATTGGTAAAGATCTCTTTGTATACAACATTTAACGTGGAGATTGTCGGTCTACTATTTTCGTCACATATCAAAAACTTCAAACCAGTTGGACTCGTGACTCTTGATACAATGTAGCCAGATTGACGGTCAAATAGCCAGACTCGTGACTCCTAATAGTAGTTTTAGAGGACGTCAAATTGACGGTCTTCTTGCACGAGTTTTCTTGGCGGCCAAACATTTTGTCTCTTTGAAAACCTTCATTCTATCGAGGCTTCAAAGTTTAGGCTCTCAGTGGTTAATAAACCATTCTTAACTTATGAAATCAATATAAGTAATATTGCTTTTCATTTATCCTTTCAGTTGTAACTGAAAGAAAGTTTAGTGTTGTTATATGTGACACTTTTATTATTTGTAATTCTTATTATTGGAAAAAGGTTGACTATGAAGCGATTATTTGATGATTTGCTTTGCATTGTTCTTTGAGAAATGTTTTTCAGTAATGTTTTTTCTTTTTATATGATACTCGTGTTTAATTTACTCGTGCCCAAATATGTAATTTTTTTTTGGAAAAAGGTGGCTTATATTAAATTAACAGAACATAAGCAGGAAACAAACAGACAAAGAGCTCACTGTCTACCGTCAGCCCTTGAACCAGACTTAGAACCTGTCACCTCCAAAGAAGCAATCAGATTCGATGATCCTGAATTGGACTTACTAGAGCCAATGATCGGTAAACTAGACTCCTCATCACCTGTCTTAAGCTCTAGAGTTTTAACACTAATAAAAACCAACACAAGCAAAAACAAACGTAGTTTCAAACAAAAACCAAACATAAAAAAGCAAAGCGAAAATGGCAATGTTCCTCAATCAACAAGAAGTACCAGAACTTCATGGGTTTTGGCGGGCCTGGTTGCTCCAACCCGTCCCTTCCCTGTTTTTTGCCTCGTCAAGAGCCTTACCATCCCCATCTGAATCTTCCTACTCCCGGGCTTTCCAAGTTCTCTGACCAATCAAACTCTCCAATTGCATGCTACCCTCCGCCGATGTATCAGCGTCGTTGACGAGCACTTTGTCACTGTGCGTCAAAATAAATTCAATACTAAACACTTATACGTAGTATAGTGTAGTAGAGTTCGTATCCGCAGGGAAAGGAATAATTCTCTTTTTATGATACTTAGTAACTAAAAGGGGGGATTTGGATTGAGTGATTTAATTTTAATTAAGAACTAAGATGAACAACCTATATGTGTTTAATTCAAAGATAAAAAGGACTTGACATTGCTACTTTCCACTTGTTGATATATTTTAGTCGATCATTGTTATATCTATAACTTATTCTCTCTCGAATACTCAATCGGGGAGTATATCCACTTCATCGAGGGTAGTTATTAACAACGACCGTTCATTAATAACCCTTACTATTAATCAAATATAGAACAACGCCTTATACCGATTTAATAGTAACATTTAATCTTTCTAACTCCTTGATGAAATCAATTGAGATTGATAACCTCAACACAAGCGGTTTCGGTTTAACCAATAAAATTAATCCCTCTTAAGTAAATTAACCACGACCGTGCATTACTAAACCGAAGTTACTTACTTGTGAAACCATCAACGATTAACCATCGGTTCGTTGATCGTTTCTAGTAATAATTAATATATGAAACAAAACTAGTTGATCCTTTAAGTAATGTTCAAAATATTAATATGAAATAAGAGTAGGGATTAATTAATATTCAAGGAAGAATATTATTAATGAAGATGAATCCTACTATAATTAATATCAAGATGTTAACTAATTGTCATCTTAGCAACACTCCTCAACATTAATATAGAGGAAGAAAATATCATTCTAACTAATGTCGAGATGTTAACTAATTGTCATCTTAGCCACACTCCCCAACATTAATATAGAGATGGTATTAAGGAAAGAACTATTAATTAATATTCAAGGAAAGAAGTTAAGAAAATAACTCACAACTTTAATAATCAACAAGCTTCAAGAGCAACACCAAGAATGGAAGTTTAGCTCCTCATTTGGAGACTAAACATAGCTAGAAAAATATAAAGAAATGCTATTCTAAACTGAACTAAAGAGTATGGAAGAAGGGATCATTTTTAGAGAAGAAAAAGAGTGCTATTTATAGGTGTTTTTCAACACCTTTGGCCGGGTACCCGACCGGGTATAGTACTTACCCGACCGGGTGCATGTCAAAATCAAATATCCTCCACGTTCTGGCGATCTTCGGCATGTTAAAGTGTTCGGGTCAAGTCAGACCCGACCGGGTGGGGTAGGGGACCCGACCGGGTGAGTGCAAAAATTGGATATTCTTCACGTTCGGGTGATCTTTGCACGCCGGGTTGTCCCCGGTCACTTCTCACCCGACCGGGTGAGGTAGTGGGCCCGACCGGGTCATGCACTTTCTTTGCATTTTCGTTTTTCACTTCTTACCCGACCGGGTCAAGTGTTATACCCGGTCGGGTATTTGCTCCTGGGCAGCCAAATCTTCTTTTTCTTCACTTCAAAGTCTTCCTTTCCAACACCACAAATCCTAACTAAACTTTACAACTTACAAATAAACACTAAAATACAATTACAACTGAAATCACATAAATGTTTACAAACCAAATAAAACGTCAAACAATTAACATAAATCAAACATAAAAACATGTAATTATGCACTACTAATTAGTGTGCATCAAACACCCCCACACTTAAACCTTTACTCGTCTCGAGTAAATCAAATCCGATCCAAGAAGTCCTTAAAATGACAAGAATATCAACACACACATCCACGAGTGTTTTTAGAAACACATAAAGTAAATCCCCAAAAATATAATAGTAAAGAGGGTCTTCAACTCCATATTTCTTTATCAACCTCAACCTTTTTTTTTGCGTTACCCTTAGGATCCTGCAGAAATAAAAGAAAATACTTTCTCTCGTTCTCTCATTTTGTCTAGGTGCCCTTTCGGGTTTTCATCCCAGCTTCCCACATTTTTCTGTTTTAATCCTCACAACTCACTCTTATTTTTGCTTTATTTTTGCTTAAGTTGCCCTTTCAGGTTTTCAACTTAACAAGCTTTTATAATTTTTTTTTACAAGAATAAAGAGTATGAATGTGAGTATTCCATAAAACTCTCCCCCCAAGCTAATCAAAGCACTGTCCCTAGTGCTTGTGTCTAAGATGAATGTGTTTTTTTTTTGGATACTTTTTGGGAGGTTTTGTTGGTGATTCGTGGGTGTGGAGATGAAAAGGGTGAAGAGGTGATGAATGAAATGGGTTTAATTGGTGGATGGATGTAGGAGATATGAAGCTTTTGACTTTTGGAAATGGAGGAAATTTGGGGTGTGGTTCGAAAGGGAAGACAAAGGGGGGTGATTCCTTTTTTTTATAAATGAGAAATGGCCTGGTTTCCAAAAATCGAGATACCCGGCCGGGTGGGGTAGTGTACCCGGTCGGGCGTAAACTGTTCACCCGAGGCAGAAGGTTTTTGCTGGCTTGCCCGGCCGGGTATGGAAGTCTACCCGGTCGGGCGAAAAATTTATTCTTGTTTTGCTCATGCCTCGCCCGGGTGATTGCCCGGGTGTTTTGTTTTTTTGGAAGTAACCCGACCGGGTTAGGGTTTATACCCGGCCGGGTCCAATCCCAGTCCATTTTTTTTTGAAATGTGTAAAAATAAAATAAAACAAGTAAACGTACTTTGCTTGGGTTGCCTCCCAAGAAGCGCCTTAGTTAACGTCGCGGCACGACGCCATGGTTGTGTTCAATCGTTCAAGCTTGGATCGTGATAGTTTAGCTTCGCCACATTTTCACTCCTAGGGTTTCCATATGAATGCTTGATTCTCTGACCCTTCACTTTGAAAATCCCTCCAGGATCAAATATCCAGATTTTCGTTGATTCATGTGGTGAGAGTAAGGGAAGGAAATTATCATTTAGCATGGTCAATGGAAAGTGTTTTGATCTTGGTGGCATGAGAGGGGGTATCAAATGTTTACTTAACCCCACTGTCATTTCCTGCATATTGGTGAATGAAAAGAAATCCAAATGATATTCTCTCGGTTTATTTGCAACCGCGAAAAGTACATTTGAATTATCCTCACATTTGCTGAGGATTTCATCTTTGTCCTTCTCTACCCTTTCTGTTTCCTTTAGAGCTTCAGGAAATGGTGGCATGTTCTCAGGAATGGCCGGTGATGGAGTTGAGTTTTGAAGTTTCTCCTCCTCTGGTTGAGCTCCCTCCGTAAGCTCCTCTTCTTCTTCCTCCTTGCCAATGTGGTTCACAATGTTTGGCACTTGTTTCAATTGATTCTCCAAGTTCAGTTCTTTGAGCATTGTTTCTTGCGGGTACTGCGACATATCTTGTTGCATTTTTGTCACATTGATAGTGAGGGCTCGGATCATGTCTTCAGTGGACATGCTGGAATAAGAACTTGAGTACGGATTATATGTGTTGGAGAATGAATCATACCTCTCTTGGAAAACAACATCATCACTCTGTTCAAAGTATTCTTCTTGCAGCTTGGGGCAAAAATCCGTAAGATGCCTTTGTGACATGCAACTGTTGCAGGCCTTGGTATCTTGAACGTTTGAGCATAAGAGAAACTCCTTTACTAAAAATGTTAAGCTAGAAATTTGACTCTCTAGCGATGATGTGTTGGTATCCATTTACTCATATAAGCTCAGAAAATAGAAGAGCAAGAGATTTTTTTTAATAATTTTTTTTTTTATATTTTTTTTTGTTTTGATTTTTATGAGATAAAATAAAAAGAAAAATAATTGCCTTTCCCCGGCAACGGCGCCAAATTTGACGAGCACTTTGTCACGGTGCGTCAAAATAAATTCAATACTAAACACTTATACGTAGTATAGTGTAGTAGAGTTCGTATCCACAGGGAAAGGAATAATTCTCTTTTTATGATACTTAGTAACTAAAAGGGGGGATTTGGATTGAGTGATTTAATTTTAATTAAGAACTAAGATGAACAACCTATATGTGTTTAATTCAAAGATAAAAAGGACTTGGCATTGCTACTTTCCACTTGTTGATATATTTTAGTCGATCATTGTTATATCTATAACTTATTCCCTCTCGAATACTCAATCGGGGAGTATATCCACTTCATCGAGGGTAGTTATTAACAACGACCGTTCATTAATAACCCTTACTATTAATCAAATATAGAACAACGCCTTATACCGATTTAATAGTAGCATTTAATCTTTCTAACTCCTTGATTAAAAATCAATTGAGATTGATAACCTCAACACAAGCGATTTCGGTTTAACCAACAAAATTAATCCCTCTCAAGTAAATTAACCACGACCGTGCATTAATAAACCGAAGTTACTTACTTGTGAAACCATCAACGATTAACCATCGGTTCGTTGATCGTTTCTAGTAATAATTAATATATGAAACAAAACTAGTTGATCCTTTAAGTAATGTTCAAAATATTAATATGAAATAAGAGTAGGGATTAATTAATATTCAAGGAAGAATATTATTAATGAAGATGAATCCTACTATAATTAATATCAAGATGTTAACTAATTGTCATCTTAGCAACACTCCTCAACATTAATATAGAGGAAGAAAATATCATTCTAACTAATGTCGAGATGTTAACTAATTGTCATCTTAGCAACACTCCCCAACATTAATATAGAGATGGTATTAAGGAAAGAACTATTAATTAATATTCAAGGAAAGAAGTTAAGAAAATAACTCACAACTTTAATAATCAACAAGCTTCAAGAGCAACACCAAGAATGGAAGTTTAGCTCCTCATTTGGAGACTAAACATAGCTAGAAAAATATAAAGAAATGCTATTCTAAACTGAGCTAAAGAGTATGGAAGAAGGGATCATTTTTAGAGAAGAAAAAGAGTGCTATTTATAGGTGTTTTTCAACACCTTTGGCCGGGTACCCGACCGGGTATAGTACTTACCCGACCGGGTGCATGTCAAAATCAAATATCCTCCACGTTCTGGCGATCTTCGGCATGTTAAAGTGTCCGGGTCAAGTCAGACCCGACCGGGTGGGGTAGGGGACCCGACCGGGTGAGTGCAAAAATTGGATATTCTTCACGTTCGGGTGATCTTTGCACGCCGGGTTGTCCCCGGTCACTTCTCACCCGACCGGGTGAGGTAGTGGGCCCGACCGGGCCATGCACTTTCTTTGCATTTTCGTTTTTCACTTCATACCCGACCGGGTCAAGTGTTATACCCGGTCGGGTATTTGCTCCTGGGCAGCCAAATCTTCTTTTTCTTCACTTCAAAGTCTTCCTTTCCAACACCACAAATCCTAACTAAACTTTACAACTTACAAATAAACACTAAAATACAATTACAACTGAAATCACATAAATGTTTACAAACCAAATAAAACGTCAAACAATTAACATAAATCAAACATAAAAACATGTAATTATGCTCTACTAATTAGTGTGCATCAGTCGTCCTTCTCCCGTCGTGCCTCATTTCCATGCACTTTGGAACCGCCCGATGCCATAACGAAGCACTTCCTATCGCTGTTGCACTGCTCCGCACTCTACCGACGGAAGATTCCCAATTCCTCACCCTCGTATGTGGAATGAGAGTCGGCTAATTGTCGATGAAGGATGCCGCACGATCCCAAGCGGCGATATGCGGAAAGCTCAAACCCTACGTAGAGGGACTACCGCTTTCATTTTTACCCGAATGGGCGAATATGTAATTTAAATAATAATAAAGTGATTTTCACCTCTATTTTATGTTCTTTATTGATATTTTTATTATAATTCATAGTTCAAATAAGTATGGTTTATGATTTGTCTTGGATATATACCCAAAATAAAATATCGTTTATAGGCCCAAAATAGCGTATCGTTTTAACGATATATAACTAGGAGTATAAATAAATTTATCGAACAGTATAACGCTTATAACAAATTAACGTCCGTAACGTCATTATATTATTAAACAAAAGGTGTGACAAAACCCAAAAAAACTCCATAATAGCTTATTGTATACAAATATATGCTAATAACAATCTAGCTAGTGCTATTAGTACATCATCACATCATACTATCGGTATATAACAACGGAAATGAACAAATAAACAATAAATTAATTATTAAGCTGCGCACACGACGGCGACCGGCAGCTGCTCGCCCAAATGGACGTCGAGTTGGGCTAATACGTTTTCGTCAATATTTGGGTTTACCGGCGGAGATAGACCCGGCGGCGCAGTATTGATGATAGGCGTCGTCGTGCATATCTCTTGGCTCTTAGAATCTAGAGAATGGAGTTCTTGGTCGCACGTTTCTGGTGGCGCCGCCACGTTTATAACGTGATCCGGCAAGCCGCCCTTTTTGTGGTCCACCATCTCAGCCGGCTTCTTGTTTTTGTAGATTCCGTACAACACCATTTGTATCATTCCCAAACCAAATCCCAACACGTTGGGTATCTGTAAAGTTAAATCACACTTATTCAAATTCATTCAAATTCAAAAACAAATCTAATAAATAAGGCTTCGACTTTCATGTTTGTTAAGACACCATTAAGATATTTAATTCTCAAGTAGTACAATATTGAAAATTTTGGATTTCGAAAATTTTAAATGAGAAGAATTTAACAATATATATATTTCAAAAAGTTAGTTTGTTATTCATTAATAAATAAAATATATTTCAAAAAGATTTAAAATAACACAAAATTTCAAAATAATATTATCATATTTCCTTTCAAAACAAAAGTAATTACTTTCGTTTTTGAAAAATACAAACAAATGTGACATTAATGATTAATAGTCATATTATTGCCGGATTATGCTAAATTATGACAGTGTGATTTCAGAAAAACAACAAGTTACTTTTGTTGAAATAAAAAAAACATAGCATTCTTATTTGATTTAGAGAAATTCACATAGTTAATTGTACTTACAGCAATACACATGTCCTTCAAAAGTAAGCCATAGCCAAACCACATGACAGCAGTCAACGTGAGGAAGAATGACAAGTTGAATGGCATATACTCGACGCTTTTTGTTTTGACCACTTGAAACTGCAATAATAAATATTGGTTTATTAATAATATACGCACAAGTTTGATCATTAATATCTTTTATTTTTATTAGTAAAAAATTAAAAAATTCTGATATTTAAAATTTAAAATGAGAAGAATTTAATAATATTTTTCAAAAATTTAATGTATAATACATTAATAAATAAAATATACTCCCTCCGTTCCTAAATAAACTTCCAACTTTCCTTTTTCGTTCGTTCCAATTAAAACTTCCACTTTCCCTTTTTAGTATAGAATTTGTGGTTCACAACATTTCTTACACATTTCTCTTTCCTCTGCACAACTCTCCACCACACAATACCCACTATCTTAAACTCTGTGCCAAACCTATTTGGAAGTTTTAATAGGAACGGAGGTAGTAGGTAAAATAGAATATTAGAATAGTGCAAAAAGTTCAATGTTACGATTAAGAGAAAACAAATGTAGTATATCACAAGGGCTCGTAGATTTTTTGAAGCAACCACTAGTCTAAAACAACTCTTATTCGATCATATTTTGGGAAGTTTTAATCGAGTTATTCTTTTAAAAGGATTAAATATATGAGTCATCTTCTTTGGAGGATGAAACATACGTAGTCCTATTTGTAGATCGAAGTTTAGTCGTAGTGCTATATAAGGTAATCACTATATTAATAATTGGAAAGAGAATATTACCCGAAATAGTACTACAAAGATTTGAAAATTCCAAAATAGGATTGTCATGTTTTTATTCCCAAAATATGAATAATTACTGTCATGTTTTGACAGTTCTAGACTTCAAACATGACAGTATGTTTCTAAACTTGAGAGTAATTTTTCCTATTTTGAGAATAAAAAACATGACAGTCATAGTTAAAAATTTCAAATTGTTTTATTCCTATTTTGGGAACTTTCCCGATTGGAAAAGGACATTTCAGAAAAAAGAAATTAAATTAATTAAAATTGTTTTCGGAAAGTTAATAATAGAAGTATACCAATATACTGAGGGGAGCTGCAAAAACAGAGACAGAGAAAGCCACGCAAATCCATCCGACAACGCTGACTCGAAGGTTGCCTTTCAACGGAAACATAGTGACCAGCAAAATCACACTGTACAGCCCTCCCACCAATAGAAACAACATCTTCACGGTCTGACGCTGCAACACGAAAATATATTTATTTATTAGTGTTATATACTTTTATAGATTTAAACTTTGAGGAAATTGCATACGAGGAATATTATATTCATTACAAGTACACATTTTAAGAAACACTTTTATTTTTAATGATGACTATCACGATCACTATTGTGTTAAATCTAATTGAACGTACTATAATGATTAAAGATACTATTGTGTTAAAGATCCTAATGACAATTGCAATTTTAGTTTCGTAACTTTCGATTGTGTTCGCTATTAATCTCGTAACTTTACTAATTTCAGATTTGATCATTTAACTAATAAATGATTGCAATTTAATTAAGGACTTTTCCATCGGAAAGTAAATTTTTCTGTAGATAATTCGGTGGAAATTTTTTTAGGTTACAAAGAATTACTCTGTATAAGTTACATGATCAAATTTGCAATTAAATAAAGTTACATGACTAATAAATCATTGCAATTTAAGGACTTTTCCACTGAAAAGTATATTTTCCGGAAGACAATTCGGTGGAAAATTCCTTAGGTCACGAAGAATTACTAGTTACATGATCAAATTTACAACCGAGTAAAGTTACATAACTAATAATGGGTACACTCAAAAGTTATGGGATTAAAATTGCAATTCTCCCAAGTTACTACCACTATCTCTGAGTATAAGATATATTTTGTGCACTACCTTTATTTTAGTCATATATTCATCATTATTTTAAATAATGATTGATTTAAATTAAGAGAAGAGTTCTTCAAATAAGGCTAGAATATAAAACATTTGTTTTTAAACTAAGATTGTTATTGTTTTTCCTAAAATAGTATACACAGAGTCATAAAAAACTATTCACTAGTTTTGTTCCTGTAAGACCATGATTGAATAAGTTCTTTTTCTTTTGAAAAGTAATGATACACCTATTTATGTATATAACTACTTATGTCTCACTTTTTTTCACAATTTTTTTTGCATGAACTTATAAGGGTAAATACTACCTTAACATTTTTGGAAGCATATGCAAGAAAAATCGAGATGTAAAGAGTTTCAATAACACATCCAATGGAGTTGATGGAAATGAGTAGAGGAGCGTTCTTCTTGAGGAAAGCATAGTACATCCACAGCATAGCAGAAAATAAGGACACAACATATGGTAGGGATTGGTAACCCATTGTTGATTTTGCTTTGTGGATTCGAATAAATGTGGGCCTGCAAATTAAAGCATGTACCAAAAGTATTACTTAATGAACATGCTTAATTAAGTTCATATATGCAACATTATTTATATTAGCTACAATTCAAGCTATCCATGTAGGTCAGTATGTGTTGCCGGTTCTAAAAATAAATTAAAGGCTTACATAAATATATTTAAATTAAACCTAACTAGTTTGAGCTCCTTTGTTTCATGATGATTCTACGTTCAATCTTCTTATATTATTGGTACTTGTGTGTTACCATTCTATGGCAATAATTTGAGCATCCAAAAAATTAAACTCGATTTGAAAATTTATAATTGGAGGTTATTGGAATCCAATTTCTCTCACAATTTATTTTAATTATTTTCTCACATACTCCCTTCGTCCCTAAATGTTTGTCCTACTTTGACTTTTTGAGTCAAACTTGTTAAACTTTGACCGCTAATTACTCCAAATTAATAATATTTTATCCTTAAAAAATATTTAATGTGATTCTTTGTAATATGTATTATTCAAATGTCAATTTATTATAGATTTTATAAATATATATTAATAGATAATTATGGTCAAACGTCTATCTAGAAGACCACAAAAGTCAAAGTAGGACAAACATTAAGGGACGAAGGTAGTATATATCAAGAGTCAGTGAAAACCATTTTACTACTTGATTCAGGGGTAATTTGAGTTTGCACCCCATTTTATTGTCTAAATTGAACTTTGCACCCCGTTTTTAGAATTCTTTATATTTACACCCCAACTCTGAGAACGTGTTAACCGAATAATCATTTAAAGAACGATTTTGGTATATACAATTGAGTTCACCTAAATTTATTTAGTTCTCACTAAGTGTAGAATTGGGACTAGAGTGTTGGGGATGCTGAGGGGAATTGAAGAGAGCTAGGTTAATGACTCTTCTCCACTTGTTTCTAAACCACTCAAAAACCTCCTAGGACCTATGTTTTGGGTTCTTTGAATTTGAGGGCTTTAAAGCTAGAGTTTTTTCAATAAAAGGAAATTGTCAATTTGGTCCTGATACGATCAAGTAGAAGTTAATTAAGTCTTCGTAGTTTTAAAACATCAATCAAATCCTCGAACTTTGTAAAAACGTTCAATAGAATCCATTAGCAGGTCACCCGTCACGTCAGCAAGTCACCTGCTGATGTGACACACACGTGGCAGCCTAGTCAGCAGTGACTTTGCTGACGTGGCATACACATGGAGGCCTAGTCAGCCATTTACTGATGACGTGACACACACATGGACCGCCACGTGTGCGCCGCGTCAGTGGGTGACCTACTTACATGGCGGGTAACTTGCTAATTGACTCAATTAAACGTTTTTTCAAAGTTTGGGGATTTGATTGCCTTTTTTTAAAAGTATGAGGATCTAATTGACTTCTTGATAGTACGACGACCAACTTGATAGTTTTCTCTTTAATAAATGATACTACCTTCATCACAAAAAGGTTAATCATATTGACTTTTCTTGGTCGATGATGATATATTTTAAACGATGATTTTATTTACGGAGTAATATATTTATGTATACTTTATAAATTTTATACTTTTATGAAAACATATGAATAAGAAACATTTTGATATAATTTTCATATTTTAATTAAATAATTTTGTATTAAAAAATAGCATTGGTCAAAGTTGCATTTCATTGATCAAGAAAAATTAATTTGACGAACATTTTCTAGACGGAGGGAGTATATAATAACGGATTATGTGCTAATTGTACGTCTTATTAATCATATGTTTTCCCACATGCAAAACACATCGACTTACTTTGTCATCGAATTATGTGCTAATTGTACATCTTGTTCATCAAGAGCAATTCTAATACGTAGTAAAAATAGTTAAAGGTGCTTAGGAAAGGAATGTTAACTTACACCGGCGCTAAGAATACAAAGAAGGATACAATGTTACCTGAAATGACAATATATAATTGTTGATCCATCAAAACAAATTAAATAATAAGAAGAGTAATGCTACATATATCTTATTACCCATATTAGGATATACATATATTAATACTGTAATACATGAATATATTTATCTTACTCCATACTTTTTTACTAACGGAAAATACCTCAAAGGGACAGGAAATTTAAGTAGACGAGAAAAGGCTAACTTCCGCACTTCTTTATATGCTTATTTACCGAATTCAGTAATTAAACATGTGGTATTTCCTAGAACGTACGTATATATATTAGGTATATAACTCGATAATATCAGCTATAGGAATGAACATAGAAAGAAGAAAGATAAGAAAGGGAAACAAAACAAGTACACGGCTTAGGCAGGTTAGATAGCCAAAAAAATGACAAGGATCAAAATTAATTAAATAACGTATATTGCAAAAATGCTAAAATGTAGCAAAATAATACGAGTATGTATTTAACAAAATTTATTTTCATGTATAAAAACAACATCTATTGCAACATAAATGCCAAAGACAAAAAATACAAATAAAGTATTTTTGTCAAAGTCAAATACACAAAACACCTCAAACCCATAAACATGGAACTAATTTTCACTTACCAACTCAATGTATTGAACTGATTTATTTTATCAGGCTAATATTCAAAAGGACAAATTATTCACAGTTTTAGCATTAAGCTCATTCAATGATTTGAGATTGGTGTTAGGCTTGTAGTAATTGATCCTAAGACTGAGTAAAGTCGATATGTTTGAAGGAAGGATTTTGGAAAGGAAATTTTGGATAAAGAAATTTTGGAAAGGAAAATTGAAATTGTTAAACATCATGCTCTCCCATTTAAAAAATATTGCTCTCCACGCGAATCAAACTCAAGATTTTTATGCAACACCCACGGTCTACTACCATCTAGCCAACACAATTCTTGTAAACAATTTCAACACACTACTGTTTTTTTAACATATACTTCCTCCGTTCTTTTTTAGTTGCAACATTCTCCTTTTTACGCTTGTCAATGTACAACTTTAACTGTCATTACATTTAAAATTCTCTATTAGTAAAAACTTTTAAAAATCAGATTATGAAGCTTCGTAATGAGACGAATTCAATAATATTTTTCAAAAACAATAATTCACATACATTAATAAATAAAATGTAGTCAAAGTAGAGTACATGAATAGTGTGTAAAAATTACTAGTGTGTATAGTATCCTTTCTATCATAATAGTTAGAAAGGATACTATACACACACTAGTAATTTTTTTTTTGAGGATGAGCCTAAGCCCACCCTGGCCCTAAGCCAGATCGGTCCCTAAGCTCATGTATCATACTTTGTTCATATGCACCAATATGTATATTACAATTGAATAATTTATAATAAACAAATGATAAAATAATGATTTTCACCAGTTAAATGCTTGATAGGCACTTTCATTTTTATGGTACCCTACCATTCACTAAAATTAAAAGTACAAGTTCCGTGTTGTGCAACACGAAAATGTGTTTACAAATTTAGTAAATCAACACAATTGGTATTTCCAACCTGAAAAAGGCTTCATATCCTTTTCGGTCCATTCGAAAAGAACATATTTTTCTTTCTAACAAAGAAATGTATCGCTCACATTTTAGCTTATAAAATATAAGGTCTTTATTGTCAACTACCATCTACCCGATTTTCTGAAATAAATAAGCAGTTTTTTTGTATAGAATTTGCTCTCAATAGGCGTAAAAAATATAGAATCATAATGTTTTTATTTCCTAAATACGAGTAATTTTTGTCATGTGTGAAAGAAACATCCATGTTTAAAGATTGGTAATGTCAAACTTGATTATTCCTATTTAGGTAATAAAATCATTGCGGTTCTATTTAAGCTACTCTTACTACAAGATATATGTTTGTCTAATTTTTTACTTCATAGGTTTTTCCATAAAAATGATGCATGTTACAATTATGATCTATATATATTTTAATATTCCTAATTTATAGCGGCTTTTTTATTATAATTTTTAGCGACTTTTATGTACACATAAATTCAGCCTTTAACAATTAATAAAGTCATATACCCTTTTAAAAAAATTAATAAAGTCATATACGGTAAAACAACATGTAATCATATATTAGGAAAAAATAGGTCTTCTAGTAATATTGAAATATTTATTTTCATTTATTAAATCAACATGATTAGTATTCCCAACCTGAAAAGGATTCATATCCTTTTCAGTCCATTCCGAGTCCAAAATAACCTATTTTTCATTCTAATAAAGAAATGTATGGTCCAAATTTTAGCTTACTCCCGTACCCAAAACTTAACCAATATTAATACAATTTCTATTTTACTTATAAAGTATGTCAAAGTCAAAGGTGCATTTTTCAGAGATGAATGGAGTAGAAGTATAACTAACTCTGATTTATTATATACCGTAACATATACCACCAACGTTTTACTAAATTTTGTCTATATCTTATCTAATTATCCCAACAATTTGTCTTTTTCCATTTTAAAATTAACTAATTTGTTTTACTATTACTTATGGCGATCACCTCTCCACAAATTCCAATTATACAATTTTTCCTCTTTTGTTTAACTTGTAAATAGAAATTGAATAAATTATAAGACACTACAAAAGAAACAAAGGATTGGTAGAGATTTTGGCAGGGATTCTGACAGGGATTTGGCAGAGATTTTGGCAGGAATATGCCAAATCCGTGCCAAAAACACTTTGACACGAGATATTTGGCACGAAAAATCGCTAAGTCCGTGCCAAATTACGTGTCAATCCCGTAATTTTTTTGTAGTGAGAAGTGGACCAAATCATGAATATAAAGTGAGGATCTTTTTGTATGAAGATTAATTATATTAGGCTTAAACATTAACCGGGTGGACTATATATGAAAATGAAAAATTTTTGACTAAAAAACTAAAAAAAAAAATAGTTGCCATGTAAATCCTTCTGTGCATGTATGTATAGGAATAACTTACCAAGGATTCCAAACACAAGGACCCAAGGGTGGTGAAGATCAAAGAGAGCCATCTTGTAGGTTTTTTATTAGGAACACAAAAGCTAGCTAGCTGATTAAGCCCCCAATTCTTCAAACAACAAAAATATCTTCAATTATTGAGCACCATATATTGATCTTGCTAGCTAGCTAGGATGAGGAGTTACGTTCAAGCTAGATATATATAAAGATATGTAAAGAGGGTTCTTGAGAAACCCCTTTAAAATTCTCTCTATCTATCTCCCTCTTCCTTTAATTTCTCTCACTAGAACTGATGAAGACAACCATAATGGTGGCTGAGTATTTATACAGAAGATTTGTTGTGAGAGGAGCTTGCTTGTGGACGACGTAGAAGTAAGAAAATAGGTGCCGTACGATATAATGATTCGAGTGAGATCCAAAGATCAATAATGCACCATATCAGGTGCTGCTCACATGATCCACCCATTATCATCTGCATGAAAACATGCACAACTATTGCATTACCCAGCTAATCATATGTTTTGTTTGATTGAGTGTTATGATTAGGTGTCTCTTTTTTTGTGGTGGTCCCTCACACGCAATGCACCATTTATCACCTTTCTTACGCACATTTTTTGGCAAATTATCATCTTTTTCTCATGTCAATTCACCCCTTTTACAATAATGGAAATAATGACATATTGAGTGTATACATTCACAAAAATGTGACCCGTTATATGTAGGTTTTTTCTCTCTCAAAAATATTACTAAAATAAAGTCTATTTAAATAAATGTGATTAATAGTTATGATTTTCTTACTTGAATTGTTTTCAGTCCCAGACCAAACCAAACTAAACCAGATCAAACTAGAACAGATCAGACCAAATCAGATCAGACTTGGACACTTATAAAATACATAAAGACTATACATTTACCAGATCAAACCAAATCAACAAATTTTAGTCCAAGTAAAAACATCCTTACTACAATGTAGTGTCATGGTAATTTATGTTTAAAAATTCAACTTAAGTTACTATGATTTCATTACTACTCTAGTCACAAGTCACATTTTTATAAACAATCTTTATTCTTGTTATATATGTGTAATTATTTTTTATAGGTAGACGTACTTATAATAAAACTTTTAATTACTATAATTATATCAAACTTAATACTATATATAGTGAGTGTTGTGATATTATGTATACTCATAGTAATTTTAATCATATATTTATCTATGATTTTAATTTCAATGAATCTTTATGTTCTAATTTGCCATACTAATTAATAAATATAAATGTTTGTTTGAACAGGTCCTATATAATATATTAGTGAAATAGCAGAATTTATTAACAAAATGCAACTTAATATTTGCTATAATTATATCATAAAAATCGCGATAAATATTACTCCGTATATCATTTGAGCATCCCCATTCATATCATGCTCTTTAAACAAACAGTTTTCTAGGATATGCATTAAATATAATTTAACTACAATCTAAAATAATCTGGGATTTGAATCTTAGACTGTATTTTCTTTGCCTTAAATAATCTCTCACTCACAATGATAATCTTTAAATAATCTTACACATCATCTAATTAAACTTTAAATAAACTAATGGATGGAGATGACCTTATGCGACCTTATGCTTACTATTATGTAAAAAAATGATCATAGTTACTAAAAAGTACTATCTTCATCCCAAAAAACTTTGCCATTTTCAAAACTTTGAGTGTCTATATCTTTTTATTAAAAATTATATGAAAATGTTCCGTATTTCTTTTATGAAAAGTATTTTCATAAAAGTATAAATAATTTATAACTTTCATAATACTATTATAATCAAAATCATGATTCAATTTTTTTGAAATGACATTTGTTTGGAACGGAGGTTGTACTATTAAGGTCAAAACAGAATCATATATTAACCACTTATTTTATTCCTTAAAAAGAAATACGAAGACTATTTTATAATTTGGTATCGATCAAAAGGGCCGGGAATTATAATTTTTTAATCAAGTGTAGCTAGCATATTTGCTTCACTCGCCCCTAATTATTAGGATCTTGATTCTATCTGTAGACTTCGAATTGTTAGACAATAATTTTTCTGTTTTAAAATATGTAGAGGAAAAAGCGATAAAGTTATACATTACTTGTCTTAAAAAGGAACATGAACCTTAGCTTATTTCGAATAAACATTAAACAAGAAATAAAACAGTCTTATTTTGCAAAGGAGGAGTACCAATTAAGTAGGGGCGGATCCAGGATCGAGAGATGGGGTGGGCTAAGCAACAGTAATTTTTTATTACTATACATACCAAATTTAGCCCAGAGTTGTTATCGAACAAAGATTTTTTTGAATTATATACTCGAGTTCGAGCTTGATTTCGAATCTAATTTAATGAATTGAGTTTAACAAGTTTCGAACTCGAACACGGAGTAGGTTTTGAATTTGAATAATTATTCAAGCCGAGATCGAACATAGTGATGTTTCGATCCGAACACGAGCCTATCGTTCACATATAAATTATACTATTGTACATATCATAAAATTTAAACGTTTTAGTGCAATTTTTATAAATTTATTAATGATTAATAAAAATTTGAATAATCTAAACTTCTACATTCGAGCATGTCTATCGAGCATTGAAATCCAAATTTGAGATAGTTTGGATTTCAGGGACTACAACATGTGGACGATCCACATTGACTAGATCTTGCACTGTTGTAGGTATAGGTTCAGAACTCCCTTCACCAGTTTGACGATTCACTTTCGAAAAGAATGATGAAATCAACTTCTTTCCCTTCTTGGCAACATGTTCATTATCCATTCTGAAAAACATTTTCAATATTGGTATATATTAAAATACTTATATATATAAAATAAAACTATTTAATTATGTACTGAAAAATTCAATTAATAATCAAAACGATTGTATGATTCCCTAGCCCTAAAACTCTAAAATGCTAAAAAAAATAATAATCAATACATTAATAGTTTAATACACAATCGGTTAATCACAGTTTACAAATTCACGGCAGAAGTTCATAACTTCACTGATTCACAAATTAAAATTCATGAACTACACAAATTAAAATTCAACACCAACACCAAACTCAATCGGTCAAATTATACCAAATGGGCACAAATTACTTGGTAAAAGGGCCAGACCGCAAGAAGATTTACCTGGAGGAATGAAGGTCGGTCGCTGGACTGCCGTCTGCCGGAGTGTCGGTCGCTGAAGCCTGGAGGACTGGTCGAGAAAGCGAGAGACCGAGAGAGGGAGGCTGGAGGCAATCAGGTCGGTCAGAGCCAGAGGCGTTCGGCGTTCCGTTCGCTTCTTTAGTGCGGCGGCTGTTCCGTCGCCCTTCGCCGTTCGCCACTTCGCCCGTTTCGTTCGTTGTCTTCGTCCCTTCGGTGTTCGGAGAATCGGAGGTTCCGAGGTTAAGTTGCCGACTGCGTGTGGCCGTGTGCGTAACTGCGTAACGACGTATGGTTTAGTTGCCAGTTTTTTTGTGGGCTGGGCTGGAAATTATTTGTGGGGTGGGCTGACAAATAATTTAGGCTGGGCTGAGATTTGAAAATGTATCAATACTATTAAAAAAAATGGGTTGGGCTGAAGCCCACCCCTGGCCTAGCATACATCCGCCCCTGCAATTAAGGTTAGCGAAATTTCAACAAATAGGTGCAAAATTTACGGATTTTCCAAAACTAAGATTAAAGATTAGCGTAAGACTCAATTACACCTGCATTGACCACAATACCCTTACTTTTAGAAAATAACAGACATTAAATAGACAATAAATAGACAATAAGTAGACAATAAACATCCCAACCCCCAGCCCAGCGCAGCCCTCCGGCGTTCAGCCTGCCGCCACCACCCTCCGACGTTCCAGCCGCCGCCACCCTCAGGTTTCTCAGTCGTCTCCGCCCTCCATGGTTCCAGCCGTTGCCCTGCGGCGTCTCAGCCTCCACCACTGCCTCTGGCATCTCAGCCTCCTCTGAAATCCTTCGGCGTCTCAGCCGCTGCCGCCGCCCTTCGACGTCTCAGTCGCTGCCGCCGCCCTTCGACGTCTCAGCCTCTGCCATGCACCGGCGTCTCAGCAGCGGCCACCCTCAGACGACAACCTCATCTGTTAATCTACTCCAACGACGAGGCCACAACCACACATCAGCAGGAAAGTGGATTGAAGGGGCTGAAGGGTAAAATTGGAAGGAAAAAATAGAGTTTCCTGAAATAGAATTAAATAAATCACACGGATGGAAAAAACATGACGAAGTCCTATTTTTGTAAACTTGCATTGATTTAGTCTTAGAAAGAGCAATTTTCTCTTAAGGTTACGCTAGGTACGCCGTACACCGATGAGCTTGAGCTGAAATATCATTCCCTTGATTTTTATAAGGAAAATAATAATGCTATCAAAGGATGAGCATTTTTTCAGCGTCAATGTTTGTTAATATTTTTATTTTTAATTGTAAACCTTAAGAAACAAAGCAAAATTAGCATGTTACGATGGTTTTAAATTTGATAAAAAAATGTTAAAAGTACGAATGAGCTGAAATAGTTTCGTACTTTTGAAGGCTAACTAATAATTTTTTTTATACGTAACATATTAACATATAAAAACATGATTTGGATTTTACAGCTAGAATCTATACAACATTTATATTTCTATAGTACATACGTATAATATATTATCTTTCATATCAAACAATGTGTACAAATCTCCGTTTCTATCAAATGGTTCATTATAAGATTTGAAAAATCAAATGTCATATTCAAAGTACTGTTCTTTGCAAATTTATTTTCTTCCAAATGTAACAAGTAATTTAATTAGATACGGAGAATATATGGCCGGTAAAGAGACGTATAATTGTATAAATATAATATACCCATAGTAATAAGAAGGTGGTATTTGGTATATATGGCGATGTCCTGAGAAGTAGGGCACATCTTACCTGTGAAGCCGGATACTCAGTGCAATAACTAGGGTAGCTGGAATTGAATACTCATTAATAATGCACTTTGACTCCATTTTATTTGTTCTATCTCGGACACTTTTCCGCTTCTTTTCTTCATATTAATCATATACATATAGCGGTTAGAATAGTTGGTGTGGTAGGATTTTTATTGAAATATAACTATAAAAACAATTTATGACTTTTTTAAGAAACAAACTATTATATGTATAAGTAATGTGAAACACAACAATCTTATTGCCTAAGGCTATATTGGGACTTAATGCGACAAACATTCTCCTTATAAATAAATATTGTGCATTTGTCTCTTGTGATTTAAAATAACTAATTATGCCCATTATTTAGGATTGGGTCCAAAATAAACCGAATGCAATAAACCGAACCAAACCGTAATTGTTTGGTTCGGTTTTGATTTTTACCCTTCAAAACCGAACTAAACGGAACAAACCAAACTAATAAAAGAATGAAATTTAATTGTTAATTGTTAAGCATTAATTCTAATTAATCCTAACGACATCAATAGTCTTTGGTTTTCTTGCGCTAGAGAAATAATGTTTGTGTTATGTTTAGTTTAGTTTAAGTTATAAATTCATTTACACATTCATTGCCTGTAGTAATGTAGTTATATTGATCTATTATGTCTTTTATTAGTAGTAATTAACTTTTATTTTTATGTAACTTAAAGATTTTATATTGATAAAACAATAAATATTCATCTTAACTATATCACATAGAACGTATATATTCATGAACTTTTTCCGAACAAGTCACAAACAATGTAAATTAATAATATATACACTTTTATCTCTCTCTCGCATACTCATACAATTCAAAACATATTTATTTCTTCTCATGTTTATTTTATTTGTTATAGTGTGCCTGCATATTTAAAATGACATTTTTTGGTAAAAAACTGAAAAAACCAAAACCGAACCGAAACACACCAACCCAATCAAACCGTGGTTCCAAGTTTTGGACTGTAAAACCGAATCAAAATCGAACTGAACTTTTTACTTTAGTTCTATATTTGGTTTTAGCTCAAAACCGAACCGAAAGAATCGAACCCACCCCTAATATTATTGGTATTAAATTTGAGAGAATAATAATAATTTAGAGTATTTACACATAAGCCCTATCAATTCTCTATTACACCCCCTCAATCTGATCAGGGGAAATCACGTGCAGATTGGAACGTAAAAATTCAAAACGCTGACTACTCAGATTTTTAGTAAACATATGTGCTAACTGATACTAAGTAGGAATATATCTGACAACTAAATCGCCAAGTGTCACTCGTTCTCGAACAAAATGATAATCTATCTTGATGTGCTTGCTGCGATCATGCTGATATGAATATGATTAACTACAAGGTAAGAGGTAGACACATTATCGCAAAAGAGCTGAACCGGTCTAGAGATGAAGATGCCTATATCCGAGAGGAGGGAACAAATTAACAAAGAGGGTGTCCTGCAAAGTGTATGCAACCGCACGATACTCAGCCTCTGTGGATGACTTGGATACCATCGGTTGTTTCTTGGATCTCCATGAAATTAGATTACCGCCAATAAAGACGGCATAGCTGGTAGTAAATCGACAGCTTTCAGGACATCCTGCCCAATCAGCATCAGAATAAGCCATTATTACAGAGATGCCATGTCCATACCGTAGCCATAGGCCGTGAGAGGTAGTGCCCTGTAAATACCTGTAAATTCTTTTTACAACACCTAGATGAGTAGTACGAGGAGCATGCATAAATTGAGAAATCAAGTATACAACATAAGTAATATCAGGTCGAGTAAGAGTCAAGTAATTTAATGCATCTACCATGATGCGGTACTCAGTACTATCACTTAAAAGATCCCCATTAGAAAGAGATAAAGTAATATGGGAAGGAAGTGGCGTACAAACCCGTTTGACAGTATAGAGATGGAACCGCTGCAAGAGACCAATAACATATTTTTGTTGGGACAAGAACATGCCCTTGGGGTGCGAAGGGCCTGAACACCAAGGAAGTAGTGAATGTTCCCCAAAGTCTTCATAGCAAACTAACTAGACAAAATATTAATTAATAAAGTGATGATCTAGGGACAGAGAGCTACCAGTAATGAGATTACCATCAACATATAAGAGTATATAAATAATGCGAGACTAGTAGCGATATTGAACATGGATGATTGAGACTGACTCTGACAAAAACCATGAGAAAGGAGAAAATCGCTAAACCTATGAAACCAGGCGGGAGGAGCCTGTTTAAGCTCGTACAACGCCTTTCGAAGTCTACATATATGAGAGGAATAATTGGGATGAATAAAACCCGGTGGTTGACACATTTAGACCTCTTCCGTGAGATGGCCATGAAGGAAGGCATTTTTGACATCAAGTTGACCGACTGACCAACCCAAGGATATATAAACAGATAAAACTAGACGTACCATAGTAGGTTTGACCACCGGATTAAAAGTTTCAGAAAAATCCATCTCAGTCTGTTAGTTAAAACCCTGAGCTACCAAACGAGCCTTGTGACGCTCAACAGACCCATCAGAACGATATTTAGTCTTGTAAATCCATTTACAACCAACAACATTTTTGTTCTTATCACAAGGCACTAATAAATTCTAAATTTTATTAGCAATATAATGAGTGCATTAAATTCATCAGCCATGGTTGCCCACCAAATTAAATATTTGTTTACTTGTGAAAACATGAGGGGTCATTAGGGAGAGTTAAAGTATTTAAAGTATAAATAGATTTTGGTTTAAAAATGTGATCTTTAGCTCTCGTTTGCATAGGATGAATATTAGGAGTCACTGGGATATTTGAAAGAGGCTGACTAGGTGGGATAGGGGAGGCTGTTTGTTCTCGGTCAGAAGAAGCAGATGCGGGGAGCGAGTCTGGGCCGGAGGGGGGCTAGTAACAGTCTCAAAATGCAGGGAATAAGGGGTAGAAGTTTCTGCCTGTGCGAATGGGGGATGAGATAAAGGGCTGTCCGCTGGTGTAGGTGAGTTCGACGTACCAGTGGATGGTGCCTAGCGAGCTGGGGTCCAATGGGAAGGAGGTTGAGGGCTAGGCGCAGGCAGGAGGTTGGCCGTGATATGGGTGAGGGTCTAGGGTGGTAGGGTGGGTGTTAGAGAGGGAGAATGTGTGTTTTTATGAAGAGTGGAGTATGAAAATGTGGATTCATGAAATACAACACCTCTTCTTATATAAACACGACCTGTACGGGGATCAAGACAGCGATAGCGTTTATACTTCGGTGCATAACCCAGAAAAAACAAAGACTGGACCGTGGGCCCACGGGACAATTTGTTAGAAGAAATACCAACAATGTTAGGAAAACATGCACACCCAAACACTTTTAAAAATTCATAACCACGAGATTTGTGAAAAAGAATCTGAAACGGAGACAGACCACGCAAATTTGGTGTGGAAAAGCAATTTATAATAAAAGTAGTTGTGTAGAGAGCATCAACCTAAAAAATAGGGGGAAGATTAGCCTCTATAAGCATGGTGCGGGAAAGTTCCACTAAATGTCTATGTTTGTGTTTCGCCACACCATTTGCACATGAGTATCCGGGCAAGATTTCGAAAAAGAATTCCAAATTTAAGAAAATGATTAGTAAAAGCACAATTAACAAATCCCCACCCCCATCACTCTGAAAACACTTAATTTTACAGTCAAACAGATTTTCAACTAATTTTTGAAAATTACAAAAATGAGTAAAAATTTCAGATTTCCTATGCATGGAATAAACCCAGGTGAAACGAGAAAAATAATCAATAAAGGAGATATAGTACTTCGTACTTAAAACCTAAATGTTGTCCCTGTAATGACTAATAATAATAATAATAATAATAATAATAATAGTAATGATGGAGTATTAACTCTTAGAGAGAAGGGAGAGCTAGAGAGATAAAGTGATATATATAATGAATTTCCAACCATTTACATGGCTCCCTTAGGGAGTATTTATAGGAGAAAAGCGGGTTGGGCTTCCAGGCTTGGGCCTGGAAGACCCATTTACAATAAAAGGTCAATAAATGGCTAACAAATGGTATTTAATCTATTCTAACGGGTATACATGAATAAAATAGAGTGTACAATGAAATAAATGCTATCTACCGAGCGTATGTGGGCCGCTGTCCGGGTCCAATAGTCGTGAGACCCGGGGGTCCGAGTCTATATACTCTATCAGGAGTCCCCCACTCTCTAAGTCGAGAGTATTCGAGGCGAAAGAGAGTAGAACTGTGTGCTGATCTGTCGTCGTCTGGTGAGTAAACTTCGTGAACAAAAATTTGAATTTCTGCTTCTTTGGTTAACGGAGGCGCTAAGTCCCCCGCTCTTCCAGTCCCCCACTCCTTGAGGCGAGTGTAATGAGGTGAAGAGGAGTAGAGTAATGTGTGTCAGATGATGTCTTCAACAGGGGGCCGAGGGTTGACACCTTTTGATCCACGATGGGGAGATGCCTCGTTAAAAACCTCATTAGGAAAAACCTTGTGGGAAAAAATCCTAATGAGGGAAAAAGAGTACACCGGATGTCCCCAAAATGAAACATAAGGTGCGAGCCCTTCGGCCTGGAGATGGAGCTGCAGCGGTGCCCGTGTGCTGGGGGGATGGTCGAGGCCGATCTCTAGATGTGGGTAGCTCATCATGATCAGTAGTCCTAGTCATCAAATAAAGATGACTAAGGGATGGGTCGAGCGACCGTCCACAATATGATGTCTGGTTCATCAAATAAAGATGACCAGAACGTAACGCTGACGGGCCGAGAGGCCTGTACGAGAGCTCCACGTTGTCGAATAAGGACGACGAGGCGATGTATGGCCGAGAGGCCTGCATAGAGCTCCACGTCGTCAAATAAAGAAGGCTGGGCGATGTGTGGCCGAGGGCCTGCATAAGAGCTCCACGTCGTCAAAATAAAGACGACGGGGTGATGGTGCGGCCGAGGGGCCTGCATAAGAGCTCCACGTCGTCAAATAAAGACGACGGGGCGATGGTGCGGCCGAGGGGCCTGCATAAGAGCTCCACGTCGTCAAATAAAGACGACGGGGCGATGGTGCGGCCGAGGGGCCTGCATAAGAGCTCCACGTCGTCAAATAAAGACGACGGGGCGATATATGGCTCAGAGGCCTACAAATGAGTTCCTCGTCATCAAATAAAGATGACAGAACGATATATGGCCGATGGGCCTGTAGATGAGCTCTTCGTCATCAAATAAAGACGTCAGAGCGATATATGGCTGATGGCCTATGATTGAACTCTGGGCTCCTTTAGCTTTTTAGCCGGAGACCGCAAGACGTTCGCTATATCTGAATATGAGGACGAGGCGGTGTACGCCTGTCTGAATATGAGGACGACGACGCTGATGAGTCGGTCCGAATATGAGGACGACAATGCTGACGAGCTGGTCCGAATATGTGGACGATGGCGCTGGTGAGCCGGTCCGAATGTCAGGACGATGGCGCTGGTGAGCCGGTCCGATCATGAGGACGAAACAATGATAAGCCGTGCGTCATATGAAGGCGACGGTCACCATCCAGGAAGGGAATGGCGAGCCTGGTCGCTAGATAAGGACTTCAGCGTTGGGGCCGGTCTAAATGTGAGGACGAGGCGATGATAAGCCGTGCGTCATATAGAGGCGACGGTCGCCGTCCGGGAAGGGATGGCGAGCCCAATCGCTATAACAAGACTTCGGCATTGGGAGCCGGTCTTGAGATAAATAATCACGTCGCGGCCGAGAGGCTGATCGCGATGTGCGGATGACAATGATGAGGAGTCAGTCCGAAATATGATGACGAGGCGATGATGGAGCCGATCGTCATATAGAGGCGATAGTCACCATCCAGGAGGGGATGGTGAGCCTGATCGCTAGCCCAACACACTCGACGCTGATGAAACCGGTGTTGGGATAGGGTGTGACGTCGTGGCCGAGGGGCCGATCGTGATGCGAGGTCGTCAGCACTATGAGGCTGATCCAAAAGTCTAAGCAGTGGTCGCCATACGATGAAGGAATGACTGAGACCGGTCTTGGGGATAGATAATCACGCCGAGGCTGAGGGGTTGATCGTGATATGCGGGCGGAGATGATGAGCCGATCCGATAATATGATGACGAGGCAAGAATGAAGCCGATCGTCATATAAGGGCAATGGTCACCACCCAGGAAGGGATGGCGAGCCCGATCGCTAGCTCAAGACTGTCGGCACTAAGGAAGCCGGTCTTGAGATAGATAGTCACGCCGAGACTGAGGGGCCGGTCATGATGCGCGGATGGTGATGAAAAGAGCCAATCCGAAATATGATGACGGGGCAATGATGAGCCGGCCGTCATATAGAGGCGATGGTCACCATCCAGGAAGGGATGGCGAGCCCGATCGCTGGCTCAAGACTCTCGGCGCTGAGGAAGCTGGTCTTGAGATAGATAATCACGCCGAGGCCGAGGGGCCGGTCGTGATGTCCGGATGGCAATGCTGAGAAGCCGATGCGATAATATGATGACGGGGTGATGTTGAACCAGACGTCATATAGAGGCGATGGTCACCATCCAGGAAGGGATGGTGAGCCCAATCGCTAGCTAAAGATCGCGTTGAGACCGAGGGGTCTGCCGCGATGTGAGGATGACGGCGATGATGAGCCGTTCCAATAAATGATGACGAGGCCATGATGGGCCAATCGTCATATAAAGGCGACGGTCACCATCCAGGAAGGGATGGTGAGCCCGATCGCTAGCTCAAGACTCTCGGCGCTGAGGAAGCCGGTCTTGAGATAGATAATCACGCCGAGGCCGAGGGGCCGGGCGTGATGTGAGCACGATGGCGATGAGGGGCCGGTCCAAAAATCCGTGCAACGGTCGTCATCCGGTAAAGGAATGACTAAGACTGGTCTCGAGATAAATAATCACGTCGAGGCCGAGGGGGCCGGTCGTGATATGAGGACGAAGGCACTG